CTCATTTTCACAGAATTTTTTTATTCATGCACATATATATATATCTATATATATATATATATATATATATATATATATATATATATATATATATATATATATATATATATATATATATATATATATATATATAGTTACATAATCAAATCGACAGTTATTATTAATATTTATTAAAAATGATTACTCAATCGAATCGCCCGTCACATATTGGCTAGCTAGTTTGTGGCCAAGTTCGAGTGGGACCATCTTCGAACTTAGTCCGTGGCCGTGTCTAAATGTATATTAGGAGCTTGCTTAGCTACAATCTGTAAATAAGTTGAAAAAGTTTTCAACTGGAATCCTTAAATTGTGATTTGTCTATTTTGAAGCTGTTTGACCTAACTTATAAACTGTTAAAAATAACTTAAAAGATGTTTAAGAGATTATAATTTTTTTTTAAAGTGTTTGGAATTTTTGTCAAAAAAATTATTAAAAAGTCTAAAAATAAGTTATTGGAAAACTTATTTGCTTAAGATCTTAAAAACAATAAAAATAAATTATAAACTTATTTTCCAAATATTTCAAAAATTGATTCTAAAAATAAAAGTAACAGTTTTTTCAGCTTTTAAAACAACTTCTCAAATTTAAGAGTTTATAGACGATTTAAAATAAATTTAGTCAAACGAGCTCTAAATACGTACATTGTCGTGTGGCTTACGACATACACATTAGTTATAATTTCATACGTAAAAGAATGAGAGTTGATAGGTTGTTAGGGGACTCCTTTTCAAAACATAATCACCGATTTTAGTTATATTTTTGTTTAAATTGTGATCAATAATTTTTAATTATAAGGCCCATCCACTTATTTTGACCCAAGAAAAAAGAAGAAGAAGACAACAGAGATAGAAAAATGTCCTTTTTTATGTAAATAAATTATATAAATTAAATTGTCAATGGTCGCTAGATCGAACGTGTCACATATAATTATCCTAGTTTAGTTTACGTATCTCGTATGATTTATAAACTATTATACGAGCCCATTACACCTATATAATTGACTGCAGAATCCTTCATTAAGAAAAAAAAGGACCTGAGTTGATTTTATACAGAATAACAAGTGGGATTTCCTGTACACAAACACATAATTAGTGAATTTGTTATAAAAAAAAGCAATTATTTACCTAAAAATCGAGATAATTGTCATCCATTTGAATATTGTTATTTCCTACTTGATGAAATCCGATAAAAACGTAACAATTTGAGAGATTTTGAAATTATAGAAAATCATAAAAATTGTAGGAATTTTTTGAATTTTATTGCCAGGTAAAAAGCTTGACGACCAATTTCAATTTGGTAAAAGACCTGCCACAGCCCAACCCAGCTTCAAAATCCACTCTCAAAATCCAGCCCATTACCTAGATAACCTTTTTTTAAATAATAATAATAATAATAATAATAATAATAATAATAATAATAATAATAATCAATTGTTGTTGTTGTTGTTGTTGTTGTAGTTGTTGTTGTTGTTGTTGTTGTTGTTGTTGTTGTTGTTAGGGCAAATTACAACCACTTCTCTGCCCTTCATGTTTGAGTAATTACAACTACGCTCTTCAACTATAAAATTTAGTGGAATATTCGAGATTATATGGAATATTATCACTTTTGTACCCATTTTATCCCATTCGAACTCCACATTTTGAAGCAAGATGATCATAATCTGTGTTTTTTGGCTTGTGTATATATCAGACTATGATGCATCAAAAACTGTATTTTTACACAAAACGAGTACAAACTAGAGCACATTCCACGAAATCCAGATGATTATGTTGAATTTGACACCATAAGGGTGAAGGTGTAAGAAAAAAAATCATAGTTGAGGGGTAGATGCAATTATCCAAACAAGAGGAATTTGTTTGTAAATTGACCATACTTTAGGAGGTTGGTTGTAATTTACCCTTATTATTATTATTATTATTATTATTATTATTATTATTATTATTATTATTATTATTATTATTATTATTATTATTATTATTATTATTATTATTATTATTATTATTATTATTATTATTATTATTATTATTATTATTATTATTATTATTATTATTATTATTATTATTATTATTATTATTGTTAAATAGTATTTAAGAAGGCCAAGGGAGAAACGATTAGGGCTTCTGAGATAGAAAGTGATAAGATGGTTTCTCGCGGATCCAGCGGCGACGGCAGTAAAGTTTCGAAACTGCACGATAGAGATTCAGAAATCGAGAAACATCCGCCGGCGACAAAGAAGTCCAAATATCCGCCGCCGGAGACGAAGAAGTCCAAATATCCGCCGCCGGCGACAAAGAAGTCCAAATATCCGCCGCCGGCGACGAAGAAGTCCAAATATCCGCCGCCGGAGACGAAGAAGAATCCGCCGGAATTGAAGAATTTCAAATACACGGAGACGAAGAAGCGGATCAATAGGATACGCAGACAACTCCAGAAATTAGAGCTGGATTTTAAGGACAACAACCGGATCAATAAGATACACAAACAAATCAATAAATTGGAAGATAAGGATTTCTCCGAGACTTATGTACGTTCCCTTTCTCTTTTTCTTTTTATCTAATTTTATTTAGGGTAAATTACAAAACTCCCTGAACATAGGCTAAATGACGAAAACACCCCCACTTACCCGTAATAACCAAAATCGCTCTTTGATTAACTGTCGAGTTTTTAACAGAATATGTACAATCGATTATACCTTCTTTTAAATAGGTGGGAAGTAAAATAAAATATCTGAAATTGTGTAAAGTCTATTCCCTAGAATAAAAAAAAAATTTTACGAAAAGTCACACGGTAAAAGGTTTGGTGTAAGACGGAAGCAATCCTCAGTATTTTTTTGGCATTACAAATTGTTAGGGTGTTTTCGTTATTTAACATAAATTCAAGGGGTTTTTCGTTATTTACCTCTCATCTACGGTCGAGATTCCACCACCCGCAATACAACTATCATAATTTATTACTTTTAAATTATAGACTTATGTATGTCCTTTTTTTTTTCTTTTTTAATTTCTTCTAATTTCATATTTTTTATCTAATAATTTATTACGTTCAATTTTATCCTTCAAATAAAAAAAATTATTACAGACTATCATCTATGAGCGGGATTCTACCACCCACAAAAATCCCAATAATCCCAAAATAAAGCGAGATGTCAGTGAAGCTGCTAGACTAGCAATGGGTTACTTCAGTCAAACATGTGTACGTGGTTTTATTCTTTTTTCGATTGTATTTCCTTTTTTTTTTTTTTTAAATAAATTCGATTTTCTTTTTTTAGTATTTAATCTCTTGTTGTCGATTTTGTTATGTTTATAGTCCACCAGATACTATGTGGCGGACGTGATCAGAGCAACCGAATACATGTGCTCCGGTCGTGTATTGTGTTTGACGTTCACCGCCAGGCCCGCGGGTTCCCAAAATGCCCAAACTTTCAAAGCGGAGATTTACTACGGACCCGGTGCAGCTGACGTCAATTTTGTTCATCTTGTTGATACTTAGTTTTTATAGGTAAATAATAATTAAATATATATTATTTAAATTCAGTATTTGCGACGTTATTCCCGTTCATCCGAATGCATCTTAAGGCTTTGTTTGGTTCATCGATTTTAGAATGACGAAAATTAAAATGTGAAAAGCAAACGAATTTGAAAATCTCTAGTGTGTTTGGTTGGTTATGGAAAATAATTATTTTCTAGAAAGTTATTTTCTTTGATTATTGTGTTTGTTAGTTAGAAGAAAAAAAAAATGAAAATACATAGTTTTTATTCTTAATTAGTAAATTAACATAATTTTTATTTTCTAGAAAGTTATTTTCTTTGATTATTGTGTTTGGTAGTTAGAAGAAAAGAAAAATGAAAATACATAGTTTTTATTCTTAATTAGTAAATTAACATAATTTAATATTTATATATTTAAAATATTGTCGGAAAATTATAATTCAAATGAATATATTAAAATGCACGGAGTCATGTTTCCTGAGGCGACAATCTTTTGGCGAGAGAAACATGCTTATTGGTGTTATTTGTTGTATTGGATGATTCTCGAACACTTTCCCCGATCCTTGATTGACGGCCGGCTTATTCTTGATGGAAACACATTTCCCTTGTTTTAGTGTAATTATTTTTAACTTTTTACTCCAAATTACTTGACTTAGTATATTTTACCTTCCAACCAAACAAGAAAATTAATCTACCTTACACTTTCACCTTTTACTTGTCATATTCTTTGAACCAAACATATGCTAAGTGAATCGTCTATTAACCTGCATGTTATTTCGAGTCCATTGATTCGGTCTTATAATTGCATTAGTCGAGTTAGGCAATGTAATCGTTTGTTTCATTTATGTGGTATCGGGATTGAACTTTCTAGGGTTTCATACTTGCTTATTTTCGGAGTTGTTTCAAGTCCTCTCCATTTCGATTCATTTCATAGGATGCGTATGTGTTTATGAAGTTGTAAAAAGTTGAATATGTAGATTCTAACTATGTAAACTACAAGAAAGATAAAACATACCGATTTGGTAGAAAAGCTTGGCTTCGAATGTTTCGGTTTCTTCAGAACCCTTAGGCTCGGCGGTAAAGATCGAACATAAATAACAACCCGCGCATTTATATATATCGGCTTGCCCTAATCAAATCCACCAGAGAGTATGTGATTTTCTACACACATACACGTACATAACAAAAGAATCAACAATTCATTAATAATCATTCCAAAAAGAAAAATCGAATTTATGTGTCAAAAAAAATAACATACACTTTAATTTGTTGAAGTAACTAATTGCTATTTTGGCATATTGTTTTGAGTTGTCGCACTGTAATGGGATTAGTGCTGATAGTGGAATCTCGGATTTATGATAGCAGCTCATCTCCAATGAGTTGGTTCCTTGTGGGCACCAGGTCCCGGTCCGCTACCTTAACGGGCCATTAATACTCACTAACTCAGTAATATTAGGGGCCTTTTGCTTTTCAAGATGGGTTTAGGACCTTAGGTGGGATAGGATTAGGCCCCTTGGATTACACTGTTGGGATTGGTGGTTTATGACTAAATTTCATGTTAGGTTTGACAGGCAAACATATTGGGATTAAGTTAAATCTGATTTCAACGTCATCTTAGGTTTGCAAGACAAGGTAGGATTGATGCGTGTAGTTACCAAATTGCCCTCAATATATATTTAAAAGATGCATTTCACCTTCTTTGTTTTGTTTCTACAACTTATTTAGATGAATGAATTCTTCCTCCATTTTTTTGCTATCGATCCATAACTCATTTCCAAAAATAAACAATCAAACTTCAAGACAATATGAAATAAATAAATTTTATTAATATACGAGTCAAATTGAAGAAACAATACAAAAATTAACTATCTTTTAATATTCATACTACATTAACTAGAAAAGAAAAAAAAAAACAATGTATTAACAAAAACTTAGTATGGAAGAAATAATTCCTGAATAAATCAAAGCATAGCATCTCAAATCAACTTTGGTATCAACTTTGGTAGTTCTTGATCACCATCCTTCACCTGTTACAAAAGGGGGAAAAATAGGAAATACATTGCTTGAGTTAATGAAGAAAGAACTGACTATAAAACTATGTATTTTGTGTTCGTACTCAATTTTATACCAATTTTTCAGTATTGAACTTATATTGTATCAAACATTTGGTTATTGTCCACCAAGACCGGAAAAGGAAGTAATCAGAAAGGAAAAAAAAGAAAGTATTCAAGCATAGAAGAACTTCTAGTCGATTATTTACCTCGCAATTAGCTGAAATATGTAGTACTTTGTTGTTCAATCTATTAGTTCTTTTTTTTATATATATAAGAAATTCAATTTATTTGTCTACGATGAGAACCTGTCAAAAGAAAAATGTTTACATGGAAATTGGCAGTTGGTAATTGAGAATAGAACATTAAAAAGAAAATCGTTAACATAAAAAATTAGTGGAAGTATATTGTTAGTTATGAAGGGAATGATACAAAGACCTACGAAGGGAATGACAAAAATGATTAACGATTACCTGGTTCGACTACTTGCTAAGAATCACTCCCAATAAATAATCTACAAAAGGAGAAAATAAATTAGATGACTCACTCTAAACATCAGTTGAACAAACAATTGTTTACATAATCTACAAGGAAATTGCAATATATTTTATTAAAAGCATAAACATATAAACTGAATTCAAGCTCACTAAGCTATGTTTTAGTTCTCCACAAAATAAAGAGACACATGGATTAACATTTTGCAATGAATAGTGTAAAATAAAATAATAAAAATCTATTATTTCATTTGTTTATGGGAATAACTAGAAAGAATTTAATCACGTAAAAATAGATCACAGATTATTTAAGCCACAACTTAGAATTTCTTCATCGGTAACATTAACAACGTCACTAGTTTGTCCCCCAATGTGACTTTGCTCAACGAATTTTTAGTTTGTAAACATTCAAAAAGTCATATGCTGAATTGCACTTCAAACACAATCATAGTTCTAAAAGTATATCAACATAATTAATGTGCAAAAGAAACTATTAAACAAATATTACCATAATCCAAATCATCACTTACAAGACCTACAAATATGTCCATACAACTTTAATAATCCAAATTATTACCCCCAAGAGTATGTCTACGTAATTGGGCATCAAACCCCTGTTCGTATCAGATTTCTTATAACATATACAATTTCTACACAAAAACAACCACATGTGTATGAAATTAGATATAAGAGAATAATGGTTGAAATAAGGGAAAATGAGAACTACAAATATGCCAGGATATATAATAAATAATAAATTTTTAAGTGCCTTTAAAGAATTTTAATCCTGAATCCCTATAATCAATCTAACTATACATACATGATACAACACCCTCGATATGTTCTAGAACATGTTGGGTGAATGAGTATAGGAAATCAATCATGTGAAATTAGGAATTTAGCAAATGAACTGAAATTAAGATAGATAAATATTGAAACATATAATTTGAGATACCGACTATGGCTGACCGGGAGAGAACTAACAAGGTGCCAGCGGCAATCCTAATCTGGAGAGAGAGAAATTATTAGATTCAATTAGAAAAGGGATACATAAAAGACAACTCCACCACCGCCGCCGCGAAAACGTGCCCAGTTTCAACCTCGGCGCCACCGCGAAGACGCCGAAGTTCTTCTATTTCAAACCCATCACCAGGGTATTCCTCCCGTTCACATTCGAACAACCGTACACGAAAATACTGCAATCCAGCCACGATCTGTTGCTGCTCGAGTGCAAAAATTTGCCGCTCGTACGTATGAACTACTGTGTGTACAAGAATCGAAATGAAAAAAATGATAAATAGGAATTTTAAAGAAGATGAAGAGAAAAAATGCAGAGATAAAATGAACAATTGAAATCTCTCTGCATCGTTAGGTCACAATAATTCATCTCGGGAGAATAAATTTATTTATATCCGGTTATTTTGCAATTGTTAAATTTTGCAGATGGCAACTTGGTAATATGACGTAAGGTTTCAATCGAGATGTATGTGGGATTAGCTAATCGGACCTCCCGAGGTGGGATGAAATAATCATCGAAATGCAGGATAAGAGACCGGGCCTGGAATCAAAGCCGGCCTGGAATCCAATAATCGTAATATGTGATCCAGTCGGATTAATCCATCAATCTAACTTTTTCCAATAAAGCAAAAGGGCTCTTACTGTATTAACCTGTCAATCATCAAGAAAAAATAGATTTTTGTTTAATTATTGTGTCACACTGTATATTACTGTGTTGATCTGTCAACACATAATATTCAACGCTCTTTTAAAAAAAAGACAACGTCTTTAACTCTTGAGAAAAAAAAATTCAAAAACAAAAAATAAACATTAACGGCGAAAAATGTCTTTTAAAATTTGGATGTCATGTCCATAAAATAAAATCTACTATTTGTATAGAAATTTATTATTTTACAATTAATTGTCATAGAAAATTTGTTGTTTTCAAAATACACTCTTCTATGATTTGAAATTACATGGCAATCATATAATAAGATGTACATAGTTTTAACATCAAACAACAAATATCAAAACGATCTAACAAAAAAATCATGCTATCATCCCAAATGAACACTCCACCTACAATCAAAACCACAGTAATGGAAAACGTTATTCAATGACAACTAGAAATAAAGAAATACCTTGATCAAGTATAGTTATGTGACGAACATAAAGTACATCTTTCAACTAAAAAAAACATAATGCAACTTAAAAAAAAATCCACAATGGCCAATATTTCACCATCTCTCTTCAAATATCATCAGGTTGCAGATGTCAAGTGCGATAAACAAGAAATCAAATAGAAAATTAAATATACAAAACCATAAGACAATCAATTCAAGTATATAGAGGTTAACACACATCTTGCACAGACAAAATCATCTAAAAAAGTTTCAACCACCTAATACATATTGACATCTTAAGATAAAAAGCTCTTCCAACAATATAAATGATATCTCGAGCTAAAAATAATATAATCCAATTTTTAAAGAAGAACTTCCAATACAAGCTAAGAATAATATATTAAGCATCTCTCGAGGCATCATCGATAAACATATCTAATTAATAAACCAATTACATAATTTATATTGTATAGAACCATGAAAAATTAGTTTCAAATATCATATACTCATACACTGAAAATCAACACACATGTTCAGTTGAAAGAGCCACCCTATCTATTTGATCAACCCAAAAAATAAATTTCATAGTACCACTTCTAATTGAACATGTAAGAAAACTACATCACAGTAACCATGAGAAACTATAATTTATCTTATTCATTTTCTTCTTAAGTAATTCTCGTATTCTCTTTTGCACCCACCTCCTCAACAGGCACGCCAATTCTCATCTCAGTAATTTGGTGGTCCGGCTGCAAGAGAGAGCAAATATTGATCAACTCAATAGTTATGAAGGCAAATAAATTATATATCATTACCTGGACAAGACGTTTTCCAAATGTATTATAATACGGCCTGATCAAATGCCCTGCGACTTTAGCACCTCCTCTATATGTCCAACCATCTCCCCATGAATTATGGACTTCATAGTGCTTTTCTCTCACTTCGTCGTCGCTCCCTCCAACTAAAAGTACAGAGTGAAAGCGACCTTCTTCAAGTCCTTCCTTCAAATCAAATGAGAAGGATCATGATGTTCATAACAAACCTAAAACATGAAATACAATAAATTATGCATCGACTATACTTATTATATGAAACAATATTATTTCAATTTACTTTTACCTTGTGTTTTGAAAAGCTCTCGTAGACTTCCATAGTTCCGACAATAGGGCCTCGAGCTAAAAATCGCATGATATCTTCGAATGGTAAAACTTCCGCCAGCACTCCTCAACCAGATATCTGAATCTTTGGGTGTTTTAGATAAAAAAACATATATATATGAATTAGCAAATATAAATATCTTATCAAACATAGAAATATTAATCCGGCATGTTAAACTTATTTCTGTATTCGATGTATCTTGTCAAATATTTATCTTATGTTTTTTAATGCATAATCTTCGCGCAAGCATACACCAAATCTCCTGATGTATGCCACTTGGACTTCTTCATTATATTCTTGACACCCCTCCACATTATCATCTCTAACGAGCAGAGGATGTACTTGACCAACGTGGTCGATCAAGTGTTGAACTGATGCCGAATTGTACTCCGTTGAAGGGTGATCTAAATATAATTGATAGCTCACCAATGCGCATACGACTGACATCGAACAATAATCTATAAATGAATTACAATAATAACGTAAATTTAAAGAGACCACAAACATCAATACAAAAAAAATTAAAGAAAATGATAAAAGATCTAATAGATCAACGAACTTACAAAAATTAATTGTTTGTTGAAATCAAATATTGAAGAAACTTTCGATTTGATAAATTTAAAAAGGTCTCGATGACCTAACTTGGAGGGTGTTTAGAAAATGTTTTGAAAACTGATTATGATTTTTTTTTTACTTTTAATCAGTTTTTAATTGTTAACCAAAACTCAGTGACTCTTCCCAACAATTTGAATATTTCATTCATTTTCCAATATATACAACCAGAGAATATATAGGATTTTTCAACCTTAAGTTGCTATAATGTCGGCAGACCCTTCGATAGAATTTGAATCTTTTTCAACTGTTATTTAGGTCCCCAAAAAATAATTGAAAAATTGATAAATATTAATTACTATCTGGATTAAAGGTTCATAGTGTGTTTAATGTATTTTTATTGTAGAAAACAAATTAATTCGAAGCACATATATCGTTCATAGTTACTTCTAAGTAGTTGTTCCAACAGGCAGATAGGTCTTCGATCCCATCACATCACCAATAAAATCGGGAAAACTTTCATACCCGAGCAATGGCTTTACATCTCCACTAGCGTCAATTTGCAAAGGGTATTTCCCTTGCAACTGACTATAGTCATCTGCTAAGTATTTATTCTAATTATCTTCAGCAATGTTGTCTATATATTTGACACACTCTAAGCTCTCGGGATGATTGAATAAATTATCGACCTCCCCCATGTGCTCGGCCCAGAGGGACAACCGGTATCCATATACCTGCAAGTACGTATTATTCTATATGTAAAATGACGATTTTTAACAATGATTTTTTTTCCTCATTAATTTTAAAAATTTGAAAGAATAATCTAAACAAGATTAATAAACCTGGCCATGAGGATGCTCTTTGTTCTTGGCCCATGTGTGATGGGGTTGATAACCCTCCATCGCAATGTTGGCTGAACCGATGATGATATAATCGTCATCTAGCCCTTCGCGTGCACGTATATCATAAATCTTCCATGTCATGAAGAAAATATTATGCGAATTATTTAAGGTGGTAGCTTCCCATGGTGTTGATTGGTAGGCCGCCTTAGGGCTTCAAAATATACAATTTTTAGAGGTCTTAAATATTTAGGTATAAGTATAACGTACATATTTTTAGTTGTGTTTTATTTTTCTTTCAAAGGCCTCTAAAATGTCTATATTACTTTTTTTTTAATCAAAAAATTCGTAAACCTAACTCAAATCAACATATATCAATTTAACTAAAAAAAAAACTTACCAAACTAACCTAATCAGCACTTACTTCTATTCCAAAATGAGGTACACATAAATAGAATAATACCGATCATGATCTAATTATTTATGTGAGAAAATCTGATAGACATGTATTTGAAATATCATAGAGGTTCTAAATTACTTAGATATAATTATTTTAAATTTCACAATATTGAAAGAAGTTTTAACAAAAGAAATTTAAAGGAATATTGATTCAAACAATGTATAGTAGTATAAAATATAACGGGTGCAAAATGGTTTTCGTACTGTAAAATTAGATGGAATGAAACGGTTCATTTTGTTTTGTGTAACACGACACATCATGCAGGCACCTAACGAGTATGCGTCTTTTGAAAATATGACGTAATTTTTTCAACTTTCAACAGTGTAGAACTTGAGATGTCTTAATTGTAGTGAATATGCCAAATTTTACTTTTCTTGTGCACATAATCGTTATGGTTTGATAACTTGTCGGATTACCAACTTGTGGAGGGCACATTTATATTAATTAATTTTACTCCATTACTCTTATAATTGTTGATGGAATATTTTATTGCAATATTTGATGTCATATGTTGCTTTTATTTTATACAGGGGTATATGTTTTTTTTTTAAAAGAAGATTATAACCAGATAACCAGATAAATGTTGATTTTGTCGTTATATGTATATTTCATCGGTTTATTCGAACCTATATTTGATCAATTTCATTGAATGTAATTTTTACCGTACACGTTTTGTCAACTACCTATTTTATATATACGAAGTTCACATGTGTACAATTGTATACGTATTTACATTTTAAAATTAGTTAACTAGTATATGTCATCTTTTATAGAATCTACACAAATTGTGTATCATGCATATTGTATAATCTGCATGTATAATCTATTAGTGAAATGGAACACAAACGCAATATTCAATACAATAGAGAAGTTGACTTGATTTTCCACGGAAAACATTGACTACGAACAAAAATAATAATAAATATATATGTTTAAGTGTGTATAAAACATTTATTCCTTGAACCAAACTAGAAAAAAGCACGTGCCTCGCACGTGTTTAATTAATTTTATAATGTTAATTATGTATGTGATTTAAAATAAAATTTTGTATTAAAACAAAAAAAAATATGGATTATTTATTTTTAACAATGTAACTTGAAGAACATTTTATATTTATACAAGAAGTGTGGATTATTTAATAGCAATATTTAACTACAAAATTAATTTTATAATGTGTACTTAAAGCAACATGATTTCATATTTTTTTACTATGTTGTTTTTCAAAAGCACAACCATCAAACCAACATATTTACATAATTTATTACTATTTTCTTTTCCAACATGTATTTTTACATTCATGTTCTCTTCGATATCCAATTTCATTTCAAAACCAATTTAATCATAACAAAATATATATATATCATTAAACTTATTCCATATTTTAATTTTATTCAAATTCTCAAAAAAATCGTTATGCCAAATATTTAATATTAAATAGCAAATACAAACATA